TGTTGACACCGTGTTGACACTGCGTTGACACCGTGTTGACACCTTGTTGACACCGTGTTGACACTGCGTTGACACCGTGTTGACACTGCGTTGACACCGCGTTGACACTGCGTTGACACTGCGTTGACACCGTGTTGACACCGTGTCTACCCCCTCCCCTACGCTTCAGGCCCTCTCCCACACTGACACACACACACAGCTAGCAGGCATCACGCCCTCCGTACCATCATCTTTGATGCTGAAATTTGCATACACGGTTACATTATATAGAAAGGATAAAGCTAACAAATCACAACCGTCACTACAGTGACGAACGTTCGGCTGCTCGTAAAAATTCCTTCAAACCACTCGACGAGTTAACCAAACATCGACGTCATTTTGGCACAGCTTACGTCACGCGATGACGTCACATCCGCGCGACATTCGATAGAGAGGTTGCAGTATATACGGTTGAATAGAACGAGATGGCAGAGTGAATCATGCTATAGGTAGCATCATCGTGTTTGTATATATAGTAGATGCGGTACTGCACGGGGCAGGTAGGCGTTGGCAAAGGATTCCAGCCATCAGAATCCTCTTCATGGCAGCGATGGCTTCTCTCTGCAATCACGGAAGCTGCACAAGCTAAATACGCGCGCACGCGCGCACGCTCATACGCACACACGCACGCACGCGCACGCACGCGCGCGCGCACGCTCACGCACACACACGCGTGTACGCAAACGCACACGCACACACGCCAACACGCACGCGCGCACGCATACACGCACACAACACACGCGCACGCACGCACAGACACACCCGCATGCGCCCGATAGCACGCACACACGCACACCCAATCACTCTCACACATACACATACATATATGCACGACCGCGCACCCATATACAAGAACACGCACGCACGCGCACACACGCACGGACACACACATGTTAAAACCGCAATGCTGTTCTTTCCCGCGCTTATTTGGCACTTGGCACTGGTGGGTGCGTACGTGGTCGCATGGACGGATAAATTCAAACTTGGGGACAGGATACACCTCACACGACCAGCTCACGTGACCAGCTCACGTGATAAGCACACGTGACTAGCTCACGTGACCAGCTCATTTGAGCAGCCCACGTGACCAGTTCACGTGACCAGCTCACGTGACCATCTCACGTGACCAGTTCACGTGACCAGCTCACGTGACCATCTCACGTGACCAGTTCACGTGACCAGCTCACGTGACCATCTCACGTGAAAGCGGTTCAGCCGTGCTCTGTGACGAACGGAAATGCATGAAACCGCGCATGCGCAGACGCGACTATCTAAAACGCCAAGATTAAAATATCAACTCTCAAAAATACCAACGCCTGTCGTTAAAATAATGACAAAAAAACAGCACGGCCTGCCTACACGTACGTACAACAATACTGCATTCATTCGCACAGACTATATTGTCCACGCCCACTGTCAACACTGAATGCCACTTTTTCAACAAAGGGACGCCCCCTTATTGCACCATGACGTCATCATCCTAGTTTATAAATACAACCGATTGAATCTAAGCGCTTCGCTTAACAGTAGATGCCTGCAGAGTGACATATCTCGCATTCGGGTTATTACGATATTATGAAAAACGTACATATCGTTCGTATCCGGTGACGAACGCGCATCGCAATATGAGAATCGCGTTCGTGCGCGTCTATTGTTGAACACTGTTGTTAACAATGGCACGAGGCGACTTGCATTATTCGATAGAACAGTCAGTAGCTAACAATGAATTTTAGCTGTCTTCCATTGTCCCGTGCTAAATGCCGTAAATAACAATGGCCTATGAGATGTAGCATTGTCCGATATTATAATCAGAAACGCTGATAGCACCTGCTGTTACGACGCTGCAAACTGCATCTATAGAAAGAAAAACAGCCCACGCTCGCTGGGTTATGTTCTAAACATAGCGTGCTACAATTAACCGGTGGTCTATAAACTCGCGTTAATTACTTAACCTCCTGCTGCCAGAGCACAGTCATTTCCTACGGCAGCAGCTATTGTCACGTGACAACCGACAAATGCAGGCGAAACAATGAGTAGATTTTTATACTCTTCAAAAGCGACACGCAAAGGAGAATAACGAGGAAGGAAAAAAGCAGGCGACCTTGTAAAACGCGACCGTTAGAGAAAAAGTTAAACAATAGCATTTTTTTGACACAAAATACGCGAATTTCGGAAACGCGTTTTTTTTAACAAGGTTGGTTTTAATGAGTCAAGTTTTTAAGAGACGCGGATATTAAAAAACGCCGTGCGCAATTAATTTCCGCCGCGGCGGTGGCCAACGAAACACATCGTTAATGTCGTTAGCTGCTAACGACGTCTCTCTCGCAACGCTGATTGTTCCGTGTCTTCACAGCGTAGCATGAGCCTTCGCTGGCTGCAGCTGTCACATGACATTTATTATATAATATTACATAATTAATGATTATATTACAATATTATTAATATAATAGTATATAATTAATTATGATATTATTTATATAATATTATATAATTAGCTCGCTCGCTCTAACAAACAAACCACACGAGCGAGCGAGGCGGCACTCAGCGCGGAGTTAATTGTTGTGTAACAACGATTAATGATTGCGATCGCAAGCGAAAAAGTTGTGCACGTTGTAAAACTACGATAAACGACAAAGAGTAAGAGTAATACTGCGCGAGGTTCACGCGTTATATAAATAATCTATAAATAGGTGGCGCTACGAGCCGCCACGTCACTCTGCTGCCGCCACGCCAACCTCCGCTCCGTTCTGCAGCAGTTGGTCGGCCGGTTGTTGCGACGTTGCCTCATAAGATGGCGCTGCGGGCGCCACTTCCTCCTGCTGCTGCTGCTGGGCGGCTTCCTGGTGTTGTTGCTGATCTTGTTGCTGCTGTTGCTGCTGTCCTGAGTCTAGAAGATGACGTAATAAACAATGAGCTGACGTCACACTTCCATTGTCTACATCAGTTGTTCTCAACATGAGGTTCCCGGACCCTTGAGGGTTCGCAAAAGTTGTACTAATGGGGTCCGTAAGCTAGTTCAACATTTTAAGAAGCTCCAGCGTAAAAAAAGCTTATCTCAGTTGCATATACATATATGTATTAAATCTAGAGCTGCTGACTCCACCTGTCGGTGGGATATTGAAGCTTCATGGCTTCACCTTCGTTCTCTGCAGTCATCTGCTGCAGCATCTTGAAGCATCTTCCGGGGATGTTCGCACCCGTGTACTTCCGGGGGTCCTTCTCGTGCGGAAGCTCCGCCGGATTTCCGTGAGGCTGCTCGGGGGCTGCTTCCGGTTCCGTATCTGCACAACGAGCCGCGAGATGGCGCTGTTAGCGGGACACGAGGTGGCGCTGTTATCGGGGCACAGGGACAGTGCTGCTGAGTTGGGTAAACCTCAGCAGTATCAGGCAAGCTAGCATTGGTCGCATGGTACTATATACTTATATATATATATATACTAATATATATATATAAATTATATATATAAGTAAATATATGTATTATATACACATATGTATTAAATCTACAGCCGCTACTATATATATATATATATATATATATATATATATATATATATATAGCGACTGTATGTATATCTAGATAGATAGATAGATAGATAGATAGATAGATAGATAGATAGATAGATAGATAGATAAATAGAGATAGATAGATAGATAGGATAGATAGCATAGATAGATAGATAGATAGATAGATAGATAGATAGATATATGCCGGCCTGCCTTATACAGCCAAGGTTAGATGTTGGTAGGGAAGCTTTGTTGTGTGATGGTATAGAGGAAGTTCTTAAGCAATATCAGCGATTTCGCTTTAAGTACTAAGCAGATTAAATGCTCCAAGTTACTATTAATATAATAATATCAACTGGATATGATCTCTTGATATATTAGCGGTAATAATAAATATAATAGTAACAAAATTTATAATAATAACATTATGTCACATGTCGATGACAGTTACTGTAATGGGAAACTAATGTATGAAGAGCAGCGGCATCAGACCCCTACATTGCATTCATGAGAGAACAAAGGTTCTATGCATACCAAGGTCGGAAAACACACTATTGATTCTGTGCTGCTCTGCTGCGGCAACAGCGAGCGATTGTTTAGATCATACACAGTGAGACAAACCGCAGGAAACATTGCAAGAAACAGAGGAACATTGAAGGGGAAGTTCATTGCAGTAATGGACGGTATGTACACTACAGGGGTGATGTATTGCCTAGTCGCAGACGGATGACCATGCGCAACAGGGATGCGTGGAAGATGCGGGAATGCATCGCACAGGGATCTGTTTTACAGTATGGCTTCATAGCTGAGGTGAGAATGCATGGATGCTGACGCATCGATGATGCAGACAACTCTCTAACATCTCATACTCACCATCTCTCACCATTCTATATATATATATATATTTATATATATATATATATATATACTATATATATATATATATATACTATATATACTATATATACAAGTAGTAATAGGACACTAGTAATATATTATTTTGGTAGTAATTGTGTAGTGATTATACGTATGTTTTTATGCACCGTCTACACGTATAGAAACTACTGCTGCCGACTCTATACTAATAGTATCAAGATCTAAACATACATATCTCCTGATAGCATCAAGCTATTATTATAGCTGATAGATATTATTATAGCTATCAATAAGCTATTAATATAGCTGATAGCTATTATTGATAGCTGATAGATATTATTATAGCTATCAATAAGCTATTAATATAGCTGATAGCTATTAATGATAGCTGATAGCTATTATTATAGCTATCAATAAGCTATTGATATAACTGACAGCTATTATTGATAGCTGATAGATATTATTGAATTAATTAGCTCTTCATATATATATAATTCATTCATGACTTTATACACACACTCTACACGTACTAAAATACAATCACATACAAGACATATAGACATCATTCATACCTCTATGATCTATGACCATTAGACACAGTCTCTATATTAACCCTACGCTCGCTATCTACAGGTACATGGGTGTACCAAGGAGCTAATTATATAACAAGGAGAGAAAGCGCCGCCATATCTGACCCAAATTTGGGTTCGGCAGAGACCCTAGAACAGATTAGTGTTCTATTGTCTCTGGGTTTGGTCTGCACAGCCGTTTCAGCTGATTATGGTCCATAGATGGCGCCCTTGAGGCGAAAAGCACACATCCAATCCGCTTCCTCTCCTTGTTATATGTTCCTTGTTGGGGTGCACGGGTAACACACCGTAACATGCCGAACCAACACGGGGCAGCAGGCCACGCATGCGCACGTCTAGAGCGTGCAGCGGAGACGCGCTGGGGGAAGTGTGACCGGACGTGACGTCACGGGCTCCCCCTCGCGCGTCTCCCGTAAGATTTAACGACCTTGCTTACGAAGCGGCGTCGACGTGTCAGCTTCTCCCGGTCCTCCCGTCATCTGCTGCAGCATGCGGAACGACCGCGACGGGATGGCGGCGCCACGGTAGCGGGTGTGCACTTCCGGTTCCGGTTCAGGCGGTACGTATTCTGTGGAGAGAGAGAGAGAGTAAAACATTTGTTCGAAAATTCATGCGAGATTTCTTTTATATAATTATTATGTGACATTTCTTTTACATTTTATGCGACACTTATTTGGTGCCGCCCGTGACATACCCGGAGGATGCCGCTACGTGGCAGCACTAGTCACTTCGTACACTTCCGTCATTCCACAGTCATACTTTCATGCTAGACATGGCCTTATTTCCCTAACTCTAACCCAAACCCTAACCCTAACCCTAACCCTAACCCTAACCTTAACCCTCACCCTAACCCTAACCCAAATCCTAACATTAGTGCTGCCACGTAGCGGCACCCTCCCTCTACGCCCGGGGAAAATTGACACCGCATATCTGGGCGTTGCGTACGCTCTTCATACGCGGTAGAGCTTATATAGAGTCTATATTATATACTATTATTATATATATATATATTATATATTTATATATATATATAGTAGACCATACCAATGTTAGCGCGGAGCACAGCGCGTTGTTGTTTACTGTCAGTGTGTTGTAGTGTAAAGGCTGGGGTTACATTACGTTGCATTATTAAATAAATGAGTTTATGTATGCATAATTTATTGTCAGCGTCGACAGCTCTTGTTGTCAGTCAACAG